ACACACACACACACACACACACACACACACACACACACACACACACACACACACACACTCGCGCAGTCACTCCCCCTCGCACGCCCTCGCCCTGGGCACCCTCCCGCGCCGGCGAGACTCCCGGGTCCTCCTCCTCCTCGCTTCCACCGCTGCCTAGCCGCCCTGCGCTCTCGGGCCGGGCCTGGGGGCCGCTCGGCCCGTGGGGATCGGTGGAGAGCGGAGGGCGCAGCCTCGCCGCCTCCCCCGGACTCTCCTCTCCGCCCCGCCCGCGCCGCGCCCCCACCGCCTCCTCGGGAGAGGGACCTCGAGAGAGGCAGCCCGTGGCCGGCCGGGCTCCGCTGTGCGCGGCGGCGGCGGCGGCGGGGGCAGGGAACGAGCGAGCCGGAGCTCACGAGCCCGAGAGCGGAGAGGCTAGGCGGGGAGGGGACGCGCCGCCGAGCCGGAGCCGGAGCGGCGGTGGCGGCGGCGGCGGAGGGGGAGGGACGGCCCCGCGGACTGACCGACGCACGAACCGACCGAGCGAGGGAGGGACGAGCGACTTGGCCGGCGAGGAGGAGCCGCCCGGGAGGCGGCTGCTGGGCGCTTCCCCGCGCTGCTGGGCGCTCTGCGCCTCGGCGGCCCCCGGCCGCAGGTTCCTCGCGCGCGCGCGGGTCGCGGGGCCTGGGGCCGGCTTCGGCGAAGGTAAGAGGAAAGAGACCGAGCCTTCCGGAGCCAGCGAGTGCGAGGAGCGCTGCTCCCACGCCTGTTGCTCAGGCTGCCCACGCGGCACCCTCCCACTCCCGCGCCCGGGTGGGTGGGCGCTGGGGCGCCGGAAGGATTGGGGGTGGGGCCGGGCCGTGAGGGAGCCGGCAGCCGGCCCGGGGGCGTCGGTTCCCTGGGCTGTGGAGCCACCTCTGGGCACTGAGGCGCTTGGAGGTTTGGGGGTGGGGGTGTGAACCTCTGCCCTCTTGCCATTGGCCTGCCTTGCCTCGCTGGGTGCCAGAAGCAGCGCCCCGAGATCTGGCTGCTGGTGGCGACGGTTTGCTCCGTCCCCGCTCTTTGTGAGCTGGAAAGAGAAATGGCTGAGAGTGGAAGCCAGGAGCCCTTTGGGGCGCTTCGCAAAGTTCTCCAGCCCAGCAAGCCTGTGGTGTGTCTGCCGGAGGCTGAGGGCAGGTCCAGCCGGTCCTGCCTGGCACATCTTCCTCTCCGAGAGCCCTAGGGAGGTCTCTTAAGTGTTACAAGCGGCCCTGGGCAAGGGGTTTCAAAGACTTTTTTTTTTTTTTTCCTTTTTTTTCTTTTTTGCATTACAAGGTGTTTACACTGGGGATGGGCAGAGAACTTACCTGGAATCAACTAAATTCCTGTGCTTGCTTAGTGCTGGCATTCGATTCAGCCCAAGATGTTCTCCTTTCATCCCGGGCAGCCTTGATAAAAGTCAGCAACAGGCTGAGATTCCAGACCTGAAATCAAGGCAAAGAGAGGTCTCCGTGTATTAGACGGAGCCTCTGAACTTTCACGGGGTGATAGGCACGGTGCAGTCGGCAGTCGGGTTTTTACAGGATGGTCACGCACGAATGTAGGTGATCCTTGAATCGATGCCTTATTTACTGTTACTTCAAGGGAGCCTGAATGTTTAATCTAGGGAAAAAAGGGGGCTCCTGGGCATTCAATGCAAAACATGTCTACATTTCCTCATGTGGATACATAGCTAGCCCACCTAAAGGAACTGATGTGTTTATTTTTCCGTGCCGCTTCTTAAATGCTACGAGACACGAGTACACAAGGGACCTCCAGGGGAAGAACGATTAACAGCTTGTTCCCTTTAGCTGTTGAGGAGGCTGCAGACAGAGAGTTTGGGGAAGCTGCCCCGGCCATCCTAGGAGTGGCACTGTGGAGAAGAGGATGTGCGTGTCCCAGGCCTGTGCCCCAAGAATCTCCAGCGTGGTTCCCCTGCTCATTTCATAATAAAATCACACAGACACGGGACAGACTCCCTGGGGGCATGAAACAGTCCCCCAGACCAGCTCCGGTTTCTGGGAACTCTCCATCTAGGTCATTGAAGGGCAGATTTTGGTGGTGTGACTTTTTTTTTTTTTTTTTTTTCTGCTTTATGTCTGTGCTCAAGTGAAGTGTCAAACCATAGGACAAGAGGTCCGACCCCCACCCCCCTTTTTTGATCCTCTGCTTTTAAAATAGAAGCTGCATAGCAGGCAGTGGACTTTTTACAGCAGGGGTAAGTGGTCTCGTTTCCCGTGATTTTTCACCTTTGTCTGCTGAGTTCACCTGGTTTTAACCTCTCTCCCTCCTGCATCTTTCCCTCACCCCGCTGCCAAATCTTTCCCACTGTCAAACTCTTTTTGCCACAAACAGAAATAGCTTCAGAGTTTTCATTTGTAAGGCATCGCGTCCTAGTAACACTGTGGCATGGGAGGCGTGTGCGGTGCCATTGGCTGGAAATGGGGCCGCACCGTAGTGCCTGTCGCAGGGTCCATACCCAGGCCAGCTCTGACAGGCACTGGCACTGTTAGGGGTGAGGGTTGCCTCAGTGGCCTGCAGAAGCCCTGTTTGAGCCAGGTCATCCGTGCAGGGTTGAATGGCGGGTGTGGCTGGTATGGACTTGAGCATGCTGTGTGATAGGATGGCCGCCCTCTTCCAAACCCAGGCGTGTACATGTATGTGCCTGTGCACATACATACTCACGAGCATGGAGAGTGATAGAAGGGTAATTGCTATTTTCTCAGTACTTTGAACCAAAAGGATAGGTTCTCAGTCCCTGGAGACAGTCGGTGCTTGCATGGCCTTCTTGAAAAAGAGTGTCCTGGATTAGGGTACTGGGTAAAAGTTTGCCCTTGGGACAAGAGGCTTTTGGATAGATGGGGAGAGGATTAGTATTGCCTTTCTCTGAGCTCTCAATTATCCATCAGAAAGCAGTTTGTGAATTACTCATAGCCTTTGAAAAGAAAAGTTGACTCAGAGTAAAGAGGGTAAGGGCTTGGAGCTCAAGCTTGCAGAGGCAGGAAGCTGGCGAAAGCTAACAAGGTTCTCCAGGGTACTCCTTGAAGCAGCAATCTCTTAATCTTTGCTCTTTGAACCCCTGCCAGGGCCCATCTCTTTGATAGAGTAGGGGTGTTAGGGGTCATGAGTCAAGGGACCAGGGAGGGCCTGAGGCCCAACCCTTTTTTCTCTCTAGGAGGGTGAGAGAGTTTCTGTGGGTGGACAAGGCCTTAGATTACCTTGGGTTCCCAGTGATGCGGGTCGTGTGCCCTGTTCTGGGTACCAGCCTCATCAGGAATTCCCAGAACTCCCTCTGCTGAGAAGAGGCTCAGGCTAATTGCATCCCCACAGCAACCAGCCCAGATGCTCTACTTCCTGCTCTGCATGGGGAGCTGGAGGCTCTGTGTCCCGCATCCAGGAGAATCATTTGAGCCAATGGGTCCTCGTCACTTTTCTTTTCTAGCTCTTTCATTTCGCAGATGAGGCTTCTTCAACACAGTTAACAGTGGCTTGCTTCCAACAGTTAAGGGTAGTACTAAAACAGAAGGAAGGTCCCCAGAGCCTGCATGCTCAGCTGCCTGCTTCTCCTATGGGAGCATCAGGGTTGGGCTGCACCTAGTTCAGGAAAGCCATTTGACAGTGAGCAAGACAATGGTCTGTTCAAAACACCCCTATATACATTAACTTAGCTACTTTGAAGGAAACTTCTGAGGTCCCGGGCATTTTTCCTGTTATCAATAGGCAGAAACATGATTGGATTTTTGTGGGAAACAAATTAAATGTTGTGTGATATGCAAAAGTTCCCAGAGCTTTGTCAGTGCTCAGGAAACATGACCTGAGTCAGAATTGGAATTATCTATAATCAGTGTTCACCTCATGTTTGTTTCCTGAAACCTCACCCCTTGGAAACCTAAGTATAGGCTGAGGGAGAGGAGCATGTGATCCAAAGAAAACGTAGTTCATTGTAAGGGCGAATGCCGTGAAGACAACCACACAAAGCGGGATGTGTCTCCGAATCTTCTCTCAGGGGTGTGTGGATTACCTGCTATCGTGGATGAATGACCTCCACTCTCCTCCGTTCTCTCAGTTCCTATAATCAAGAGCTCATCAGGCCCATGCTGTTTTTCTATCCTCTAAGCAGTGACACCTATAGGAAATGTCAATGTCATTGTCTTCTGTAGCATCAGAACAACCTCCTTTACTAAGAGAGAGACCTATGAAAAATTCCTCCTTAGCATGCAGGTGGAAAAACTGAGGCAGAGATCAGCTCCTTGAGGACACTTAATTGAGGCTGCCATGAGTCTGCAGACATTCAACTCTCAGGATTTGGATCCAACTATATCTTCCAAGTTTAGTTTAGAGAGGGATCCGCCATCTTTGACAACCCCAGGAAACACAGTAGCACAAACAAGACGTAGAGTTGAACTGACGGAGTGCAAGCGTCATCTATAAACTAGTGTTCTTGGCTTCAGCACCCACTCCAGGATCATATGCTTCATATGGGCTGGACAGAAGGCTGAGATTGCATGACCTTTGTCCTAAAATATATTTGTGGGGCCTAGGGAGTGTTCTGCCTAGGCTCTTAATTCCCAGTGATTTCTGACTATTTACTAATCACTTAGAAAATCATGACAATTCCTTATCTTTAATTTTCTTCATGTGCAAGATATGGACTACAGTGGTGTCTCCTCCAGATTTTTTACCCCCCGGTGGCTTGATGGAAACAATCCATGGATGCATAAGGTACTGAACCTGGTGTGGTCGGTGCTCAGTAATCCATTCAAGGTCAAATCCCTGTCCTGTGCTTCGGGGTTATCAGGATGCTGGGTATCTGTAGGCCTTCGATTTCTTTTCCATGAAATGATGAGCATGATAGATTCCTCTGCCTGGGGTTGCTGTGAAGATTAAATGAGATAGCCACGGGAGACAGTGCAATACCTTTCATAGAGTATCTGGCCATTCATTACTGTTAATGTCATTACTGTTAGTGAAGGAGATATGAAGCACCTGTAACCCAACCTTGACATGGCAGGTGCTAGAGCAGAAAGGCAGTGTGGAGAGCCTAAAGGAAGGAGAGTCTGTGGGAGAGGAGGAAACATCACTAAAAAGGAGAACAGGTAGGATTTTAATGAATAGGGTGAGAGGAGGGACACATACCTATGCGCCAGAGACAGATATCCAGGGTTTGTTCATGAGCTAATGTCTGCTCTTGTTGGAGGATAGGAGGGTACCTGGGCTGTCTGGCTGATAGGTTAAGCTGGGTCCCTTTATGAGGATGCTGGAATGCCAGGCCCCAGAGTTAGGGTTTTATTCCACAGGCTACAGAGTGAAGCACAAACAGAGCCTTGCTGTGAGGAGATTACTCTGAGTAGAATGAATTTCAAGGTAATGGGAGGAATCTGGAGTTGGGGAGGAGGGTGAGACAAGAATGTCAGTGGGAAGGAGGACCAAGGGAATCCAGTCTTTCATAGTGCTTCATGACTTGGCAGCCCTTGAGTAGAGTATGAAAAAGACAATCGGTGAGTGGCCTAGGATGAGGGGTGCTGTGGGCAGAAGGTGAAGAGCAGCATTCTGGATGGAGATAGTTTAAGCCTCTCTGTCTCAGAGTTATCATCTAGGTAGGAAAGTCTAGTAGCAGCAGCTCAGGACCAAAAGAATCAGAAGAGTAAGCATGCCTGGAAAGATGAAGGCCAAAGCTCCCCACAAGTCTCTGTGGAATAAAAACCACCCAACAGCACAACCAAGCCAACAAACAACACGACAAACTCCAAAAGTCACCTCTGCCTCCTTTACTTCAGTGCAGAAATAAACCAAGTGAGTTCTAGAGAATACAAATAACTCTGAGTTAGGATTTGGCTCTGAGCTGTGTGATCAGTTTAGGATTAGTGGAGTTGAGCGTGCCAACCGCAAACAATTTCCCGTCACTGCTACGTGTGTTTCTGTGTCACCACATGTCTTCCCACAGATGGTATACATTTGGGGATTGCAGAGTCATTTCACTATCATCTTTAAAAAAGCCAGATCTGGGAAGGTAAATCTGTTTCCCAAAGCCAAATATAGTTCTCTGTGCCATTATTCCCCCCAATCAGGCAGGTGATGGGAAAATGTGGTGCAAAAAGCTGTGAGTGAAGCGACGAGGGTGCCCAGCCCTGAAGAAGTTTCAAAGGGTGCAGCAGAGGACAGGTGAGGGAGCCTGGCATGGGATGGAGTATTGTTATATAATGGAAGGGAACTCTGGGTTCCAGGCAGATGGAGACAGGAGGCGAGGAAACTAGGGAAGGCAGTGAGCATAGCTCAGCTCCCTCTGAGGAGGGAAAGGGACAGTGTGTGGAAGGTAGGTGGACAGAGAACCCAAGGATTCCTTTACTGGGTGGGAGAGAGATCCTGGTACAACCTCAGGACCTTTCTCTTGTCTGTTAACGGTGCTTCTGAAGGCTGCAACTGGACAATAGGTTGCTAGGGCAAGGATCCAGGCTAAGCATCCCGAAGAGTAAGTAGCAATTTGCTAGAGAATGCCTTCTCTATGGGAGTTAGGGGTAGAACTTTCCTGGGCTCTGGGCTTACTTGAGTCACCTGCAGTGACAGATATTTCCAAACTCAGCCCCGGTCTCCTTCCCACCAGGGAGGAATAGAAAGTATGTGTTTACTTGATCTCCTTCATTGGCACCCTATTCCTGATTACCCTGGTGGATGAAGAGTGAAATAAAAATTAGCATGTTTATCCCACTTTTAAATTCATTTAATGAGAACTCATTTACCCTCTCCCAATTTAAATTTGTAAATAACGCCATAACCTTTCAGAGCTCATTATTACCCATCTTCCCAGATCTTCCTGTTAGAGGCTTTCCTTTCTAAATACTCCTCCCCCCCCCCCCCCGAATTTGACACTTTGTCAGGCAGTCAGCAACATTTGGTGAACCCGCCCTTTGCACAGCCCTTTGTGAGATACTGCCCTCGCATCACTCTTGGGGGTCCCTCTCTTGGTGCTTTCCGTTTTTAACTTGGAGACCTCACCGTTTCAGCCAGCAATGACCCTCCCCTTGTTTCTCTAAAAACCAAAAGTGGGCTCAACCTTTTCTCTGCTCTCTCCTATCCTCCAGGGGTCACTGATCTAACTCCAAGCTGGTGTACACAGTGTCAGAGCAGCTACCAGCCCAAAAGCTGGAGTCACCATGGCGGCGGGAGTTGCAGCCTGGCTGCCTTTTGCCAGGGCTGCAGCCATTGGATGGATGCCAGTGGCCAACTGCCCCATGCCCCTAGCTCCCGCTGACAAGAACAAGCGCCAAGATGAGCTGATCGTCCTCAACGTGAGTGGACGACGGTTCCAGACCTGGAGGACCACTCTGGAGCGCTACCCGGACACCCTGCTGGGTAGCACAGAGAAAGAGTTCTTCTTCAACGAGGACACCAAGGAGTACTTCTTTGACCGCGACCCAGAAGTGTTCCGTTGCGTGCTCAACTTCTACCGCACCGGGAAGCTGCATTACCCACGCTATGAGTGCATCTCTGCGTACGACGACGAGCTGGCCTTCTACGGTATCCTCCCTGAGATCATCGGAGACTGCTGCTACGAGGAGTACAAAGACCGCAAGCGGGAGAACGCCGAGAGGCTCATGGATGACAACGACTCTGAGAACAACCAGGAGTCCATGCCCTCGCTCAGCTTCCGCCAGACCATGTGGCGGGCCTTCGAGAACCCACACACCAGCACCCTGGCACTGGTCTTCTATTACGTGACTGGCTTCTTCATTGCCGTCTCGGTCATCACCAACGTGGTGGAGACGGTGCCATGCGGCACAGTGCCCGGGAGCAAGGAGCTGCCTTGTGGGGAGCGCTACTCGGTGGCCTTCTTCTGCCTGGACACTGCCTGCGTCATGATCTTCACGGTGGAATACCTCCTCCGGCTCTTTGCAGCGCCCAGCAGATACCGCTTCATCCGCAGCGTGATGAGCATCATCGACGTTGTGGCCATCATGCCCTATTACATCGGCCTGGTCATGACCAACAACGAGGACGTGTCTGGGGCATTTGTCACACTCCGGGTCTTCCGCGTCTTCAGGATCTTCAAGTTCTCGCGACACTCCCAGGGCCTACGGATCCTGGGCTACACCCTGAAGAGCTGTGCCTCGGAACTGGGCTTTCTCCTCTTCTCCCTCACCATGGCCATCATCATCTTTGCCACTGTGATGTTTTATGCCGAGAAGGGCTCCTCCGCCAGCAAGTTCACAAGCATCCCCGCATCGTTCTGGTACACCATCGTCACCATGACTACACTGGGGTAAGTCAGCGCCACTGGCCTGGATAAGGTGAAGTTGGGTTGCCTGATACGAACGCTTCCCATGGTGTATCAGGATCGAGGAGAGGAGGCTTGGAGATAAAAGCCCATTACCCAAGTCATGGGGCCAGGGAAGTGGCATAGTGAGAAAAGAGATGAGTGATTTGTTCGTGGGTGGTGACTTGCTCTGAATTGATTCTTTTGGGGGAGGTGAGGCATCCATCTTATAAAACATGGGAAATTACTTCACCATATCTGTTCTGCAGACAAGCAGTGCCATGTGTGTGATGGCAGAGTGGAATGCCTGTAAGGGCTACAGAGACAGAGCAGTGGGTGCTGGGGCAGAAGGCTGTGAGAAGTTGGGTGAATGGTATACCATCTGAACATGCACATTTCCTTCAGTGGTCCTTCCTTTGCTTCTTGGCAGTATATCTGCACGCTACTCTCTCTTTTGCCTCATTTTTTCTTTTCTGCTGCCACAGACACTCACAGGTTTGGCATCTCTGGTTAGAATTTTCCTCAATAGCAATGATTTTGGGTTTTCTGCAAAGCAAGGTACTGGTTTCTTTTTTCCCACTAAAGGTGGAACAGTCTTCTCTTATCAGCTGGAGTCAGAGATGGAATGACCTGGCCTATGTATGTGTCTGTGAAATAGTCTCAGTGGGTCATGTGGTCAGACAAGCAGCAACAGCAACAGAGAGAGAGAGAAGTGCTCAGTGAGGTCTCAGGTGACTTTCTCTTCCGGAGTCTCTGAGTTCTGTGCTCCACTGAGGTCACAAAAATACATTTATGGTGCTGGGATGTGAAGCTTCCCACCAGGGGAAGGGGGCCCAGGAAGGAGATTAAAATCTTCACCCTAACAGGGTTAGAACAAATAAAGGCAGCTTTATGGAGACATAGATTTCAGGGGTTTCTGCCTCAGCCATTAGAACCCATGAGACTAATGAAAAAACCCTCCACAATTCATATGCTGGATCTAGATTTGCTTAGACAAGGGAGTGTTATATTGCTGATGGAGAATTCATGAAGCTTTTTATTTGGTCTTTGATAATTTGGTTGGTGGAATCTTGGTGATTCAATTTTTTTTTTTTCCTGGCTGAACCCCCGTCATGGTGGTGTAGGTCATTCTACAGTGCTTTGTGTGTTTATTGGGAATGGCTGAGCATCTGATTGGACATTTTAAAGTGATTACATTTATCCTTCTGCCACAAGGGAGGAGCAAGGAGGAGAGCGAGGGGTGTCACCGTCCATTTGTGGAGGATACATTTGATCAGGCATTCCCTTTACTCTGTCTATCTAAAGAAAGCTACTTAGCCAAGCCATTCTTTCCAACACCACACGCATGCGCGCACACACACACACACACACACACACACACACACCGTCATGCATACACATACACGCACACGCACACACTTTCAAATAGCTGCTCACCAGAGTGAGTAAGAATGTTTAACTCAGGTACTTTATCTTTCTTGGATCAAATGGTGGGTGTAAGCTTTTGGCAACATGGGATATTTGGGATAAAGTAACCTGGGCACTTGGCTTCATGTTTGTCCCTTCTACGCTGACCATGGCCATCCTTCACCTTCTTAAAGAAACCCAGGTACCCCATCCCAACCCTTAGGTGTGTCCCTGATGTGGTCCTGACCCCTGATGTGGTCCTGACTGCCTAGTGTCCTGAGCAGCCTTATGGTGGGATTCATGATACAAATGGGAGGAACTTGTGCTGGGATAGATCCCAGGCAGACTGATGGGTGTCAGAGTTAAAATGGGATCATTTTGAAGATCAATAGGAACATCACTGGCCACCTGCCCATTCCTTTTTATTATTAGTATAATAGCATCTGGGTGTCTACCGTGTGTCAGCAGTGTGCTAAGCACTTTGCATATATTATCTTTTAAGTCTTCTCAGCAGCCTTGCAAGGTAGGAAAAGTTCTGTACTCTTTAGAGATACAGAAGGTGAGGCTCAGAGCTCATATTTGCAGAGCTGATTTTCAGGTGCCAGTCTGTGTGCCTTTGATGTCCTTTCTCCTTTCACCATACCCCACTGTTCCCAGTCCATCATGGCCTCTAGTAGAAACCAGACCTTCAGGCTTATGACTTTTTAAAGATGGCCTCAGGATGTGTTATTCTAGTCTAGTCATATTACTAGTCGAGAAAGCATTAGCTTGATGAATATTGTACGTCAGCCACTGTCCTGGGCACACAGAAACTTTACACATGACACATTTCCTTCTAGAGAGGCCTGAAGACGGCATTAGAGATGATTGGCTGCTTTCACAGCTAAACTTGGGATTTTACTGCTATTTTTACTGTGGGGGTAACGGTTGATTTCTTTTCGTGTTCAGCTGTAGAGGCAGGTGTGAGTCCAGCATCAGTGGGTGGACAGTGTTGGCCTCACAGTTACTTTTATGGGGTAGAGCAGGGAGCAGGCAGGCTGCAGGAGAAGGTATGTGACAAGGGAAAGAATCTGCTTCTACTGGGGACAGGTGTGGTTCCCCTGCTGGTTCTGGACTGCCTCACTCCACCCCTCCACCACAGTCATGAACATGTTTGTTTCTCTGCCCCCAAAACCTAGCTTCTGAGGAGAGAATCAAATGAGCTAGGAAAACTTTTCGTCCTCTCTTCCTTCAATTCAGACAAGTTACTTTTCCTCCTTCCACCTTGTCTGACTGTAGCTTTGGTCTAGATCAAGCTACTTTGACTTTGACCTGAGCTGGCAGTTGGCACCATTACCAGGCTCGTTTGTTTGGCTATACATAGCAGGTGCTTGGCAAAATGCTTTTTAATGGAGGGGTCAGTGTAAATGGGGCACCTTCCCCATTTGCTTGATACTGTTCTCAGTGTCTTCTGGATGCAGCTGCCCTTTCTTGAGGGTAAATTTAAGATTTGAGCCTGCAGCCCTGCAGCCCTGCAGGCCTGGATGCTCTGTCCCAGCTCTGCTGTTCCAGAAGAGAAGAGAGCACACTGTACTCGGTGACTGATCTGTCCACTGAGATGCTCTACAGGACCACATGGATCTTCTGGCCCTTACTAGGGGACTGTCTGACTCAAGCCTGGAAAGCTTTCCCTTTCTCCTGGCTGCTCTCTGTCCAAACCGCATTCACTGGTTAATTTTAGCCCTGTTCAACCACTGAAGGAAGTTCGTCTTTTTCTTAGTCTGTGTCGAATTTGAGCCCCACGTGACTAGGAACTATGAAAGGCCAACTCTGCAGTGGTCCCGTTGCTTCCAGCAGCTCCCAGCACACACCAACCAGGTCTGTTGCCCCTCCCTGTCCTACCCCTTCATTTTTAATCAACAATACCGTCTTCAGCTCCTTCTCAGAGCAGTACTAGCCAACAATGCTAAGAGCCAAGATAAGTGAAGGTGTTTGCTCTGCCAGGCTCCGGTTGCCATCTCTGCCTGCTTCCTTACCACCTCACTCATGTGTTAGTAGATGTCCTCCAGGGAAGGATCTCCTGAAGCCAATTATCACCATTTATTTAATACTTCAAAATACTTTAAGCACACAAGAACAACTGACAGCCCAGATTATCACCCAGGCTTGTCTTTTCTTGTCAGGCTCCTGTGCCGCTAGGAGAGACCCCTGAGCTGTGCCCAGGCTTCCCTTGTGCTCCCTTGACAGTTGAGCTCCCAGTTGCACCATTTAAGGATTAATTTCCGTGTTCATAATTGATGCTATAAATAAAACAAATCCCCAATTATCTCAGTTAACAGAGAACAGAGGAAAGGGATAACGTGGAACTCCCAATATTAAATAAGACCAATATAACTAGTTTGGGAAGATAGTCTATGAGGTGATTTTTATCAAAGCAAATTTTCTTTCCTTAATTTTGCTGGGCTTGGCTTAGCATTATGGCTGACCTGTATTGGCTGAGCAAAGTCCTCGGGGCAGCTCAGGTAAGGACAGGGGGATGCAAGAAGTTGGGAGCTTTTGGGTGTGCGTCCAGGGAGCCAGCAGGGGAGGGCAGCTTCAGGCCTGGATGGGCCAGACTGCTTTTGGATTTCTGAAGGAGGGTGAGTTGGGCCTGAGAAAGGTAGGGAAGGTATGGAGCAGCCTCTGCTCCTTATGTGGTGGCTCACTGCCACTGTTGACTCGGTTACATAATTGTCATCTGCAGCCTATCTGTCACCCTGTGCTCTGAGATGAGAGCATTTTTGACAGTGTCCAAAAATCACTTTAACAAAAGCAGAATCGATTTTTTTTTCCTCAACTTCTTCCAAGCACGAAGCAGTCTCCAAGTGATTTGCATTTCCCTTTAAGACCTAATCCTGGAGGGAACCTGCAGGAGGCTCCAGGAGGCAGGAAGACTCCAGTTGGGAAGTAGAGAGAGGAACACTAAAGATTGGGGTTCTTCTCATCAAGCTCCCCTGATGCCAGATATGGAACTTATCTGAGATGTGTTTTTATTAACCCTTCAATTTTCAGTATTCTGTCTATACTTTCACAGGGATCACCAGTTACCTCAGTCTAAATACTGGCTGACAATGTTATCTGTGTGGGGTGGACCCCTGCCCAAAGGTCTGCTCGTATTTCCCTTCCTGAGGATGAATGACCTTCAGGTTTTTTGTTTGTTGACATTTCTTAAAACTGATAGTTCCCTGGTACTGAAAATTTCCAAGAGAGGTTGCAAGCTTACATCTCAATGAGGAAACTCTCATTCCATCAGAGTATGTGAATGCCTACTGTGCACCAGAGAGTGTTGCTGACTCCGAGAAGACACAAGCAGTATAATTGCATTCCAGTCCTACGTAAATTTGCAAAGTGTACCAAACAAGGTGCATTTGCCTTCCTCAGAACATGACCAATCATCTTCCAAACGGAAATCTCCAATGTCTTTTCCCAGAAGTCTTCCCAGCCTTTGAAGGCCACCCTCTTGCCTCCCATCCTGCCACTGCTGTATTTCACTGACTTTGTTTCTGTATCTTTACCACTAGATTGTGAAGTCTTCAAGTGCGTACCTTCAAAGATCACCTGGCCTGATAGTGTAGTGGGCC